GTCTGACGATGGTAGTAATGGAGGTCTGCAAGTCGTCGGTGCTCGCGAGTCTCTGGCCTGGGACGACGCGATTGAAGGTGGTGATGACTGGCAACGTCGAACGATGATGATAACCTGTTAGGACGACGATGATGGCATGGTGGTGTTCTGCTCAACGACGGAAAAAGGTCACCGGGATGGAGCAGGACCTCCCGACAGTGATGCGCAGCGAAGATGGAGGCGCTGCGGTGGCCGAGGGGTGAAGCACGACGGTTCTGTGCGTGGACGACGGGTGTCTACTAGTGGAGATTAGATGCTGCTAGTGATGACCGGACTATGACGATGCGACGATGGTGAGGATGGAGAGATCGATTTCCTTCTGCACGCGATTTCAAGAGAGAGAGAAGGATTGGAAGTTTGCGACGATCGAGAAGAAAAAGAAATAGGGTTTTGCGGGAGAGAATTATTTGAGCGAAAATCTCACAAAGTTGGGCCAAGATAATATACAATTTGGGCCGAAAGTTTTCTCTTAAAATGGGCCGAAAATCATGAGCTTGAAAGGCCGAAACAAAAGCTAGATTATCACAAAAAAAAAGAAGGGCCGATGTCGCGGGTGCCGGTTAATCGAACGACTGATAAAATAAAATCTGGAATATTTATATATATGAATATATAATACACATAATAATATATCTATAAATATATAATACACAATTAAAAGCAATTAGACATTTAATATAAATAAAGACAATATTTATTTATAAATATTAAACACTTGAACAAATAATTTAAAATTAGACATCAAAAAAATATTATATAATAGTAATAATAATATTAAAGCTAATAAATAATAATTTCAAATAATCCTTATTCAAGAAATTCTAGACTTTCCAAAAATTAGTACAAATTTTTGGAGATCAATTATGAAATTTAATGGGTGTTAACCAACATTTTTCATAACCCAAGTCTTATCTGGGCCCACGGGGATTCATTACCCGGTTTTCACAACTGGTTTTCATTAACCAAAGCATGTCACGAGACTTAATACTCAACATGAATACATAACCAAACCATAATACCCAACAACAGGGTTCCACAAGTTTTCCAAAAACAAACATGTCATAAGTTTTGGGAAAAGGTTTAAGCAAGTCTCAACATAAAGGTTCATAAAGTTTTATTTATTCAAACGGAAGCAATAAATGCATGACCGAACCACTCGCCTCTTCTCGTCACCCAGCTCCTGCTTAACCTGCATCGGTGAAGAGCAGGTTGGGATAAGCACAAGATGAAAAGCGTGCTCACCACTATGCACATATATCATCAATAATAATGTAAAGGAGGTATGGTTAAAGTATGAACATAAATCAATTATTCTGTCACGTCTCCTAATCACATCACAACATGTTACCCACGTGTACACAACGTTCATTAGCCAAGGAAAGGGGATTCATTACCCTAACTCATGGGGGTACGTGCCATACGACAAGGCACGGCCTTTCATTAGGTCTTACGGAGACTTACCTCGCAGGTAACCGTATTACATCGACGGGGACAACCGTACCGACGGCCGAATCAGATCACGCCGATAGGCTACATGGTTTACGTACATACTAAAATCATACCAATTCAACATTATAATAAACACGTATGATATAGCAAATTTTAGATTAAAACCCACCTGGTACTGCAAAGAAAAGTGGCGCACAATCAGGAGTAGGCAGCAAGCACGACTCGTCAGACACCTACAACAATTATATACTAAGATCAACATCTATTTGACCTTAGAGAACAAACACAAGCATACATTGGTCGAACTTGATTCAACCAAGTTGTTCGTGAAGTCCTGTGGACGTTGGAATACTTAGACTCGACACTACACTCAACCAAAACATACATGGGAGTTTACATAAGTCAAACTAACGATTGATCAAGTCAAACAAACAAAAACAGAAAGCGAGCCAATTTACAGCTTTAAACTCAAAAATACTCTTTTTAATTTATTAGCCAAAACATAAATTAAGTTGATCTAGCTGCCCTATGAGTTGGACTCTGAAATTTTAACCAGAAATACACCTCCCATTACTTAAAAAAACCACCAAGTTTCAGCCTCAAATTCAAAGTACATGCATTTAAAAAAAAATCAAATAAGTTATCAACAAAAACGAGCATAAAATTCAAAGCCCGGCCTAACGAAAGAATTAG